TAGCATAACACATAGTACAATGGATACTGATATATATATATAACACTAGCATAACACATAGTACAATGGATACTGATATATATATATATAACACTAGCATAACACATAGTACAATGGATACTGATATATATATATATATATATAACACTAGCATAACACATAAGTAAAAACGTGTGTTAGTAGCGAAGCATTGATTTATTTTATTTGTTTAGGATATTCACGCAAAGTTACACACGATAGACTAGAAAGAAGTCAAAAATCAATGGCACCCACCGCCAACCTTTGGGCTATTCTAAGCGAATAGTGTGATTATTTGACTGTTACTGTTATAATGCATCCACGGGTCCAAAGTGCAGAACGTGATTTCGCGGCAAGGGGACGTGAACCGTGGATTCTCAGTCTGGCAAGATAATTACTAAGTGTCATCCTATTTATCAATTCATTTAAATCTGAACAGCTCATACAACTTGGAAATAGAGTTATAAGATTATGAACAATCAAAATAATATTCACTTTCAAAATGTGGATTATGTGTGTGTTTTCCTAGAAGGCCACATTGGACTATCTGCTGTGTCCACTGAGAGGAATCGAACTTCTGATCTTAGCGTTGTAAATCCGTAGACTTACCGCTGTTCCACAGGATCGACAGTAGCCTAATGATTAGCGTACTCGGAATGTGAATCAGATGATTCATGATTCGCGTCCTGTTGCAGTAAAAACGCGCTCTGAGTGTATTAGAAGAGTGACAGTCAAATTTCACTATTCGATCAGATTAAAGGTGCTGTTAAATAGATCCCTTTCAACCTATCAGCTCAAGGACGGCTATATGGAAATAGCCTTTGTTTAGCTTTGCGCGAAATTCTGAAACAAACAATCGTCCGAGATCGACTCGTACGTCGAATTTATTGTGATCTGGAAGACATTAATGACGTCATTAATAAGATGTTTTTGCTCAATCGTTTATATGATAACGTTTGAGCTACAATGCTAAAACTAGGGTTGTAGGTTTAAAATTCTGCCTTTACAAACAGTATTTTCTCTAACCTTTAAGAAAATCCCTGCGCCTCCTAACACAAAACTATTTTGTAACTCTATCGAACGTTCATGGATTTTACTGTGTGGAAAACCTCAGTTCGTCATTCAACCAAAAACTAACTTTATGCTGCCAGTAACATTTGATCAAAACTAGTTACATTCATGGATAAGAATTAGAAATTACCTAGTACTTAATATAGTTAACTTAATATACTAAGAGAATCCAGCATGCACGGACTTTCCTCTACGTTAAAGTACTTTCCATTTATTTACGGCTTTCGGCGCTCTTGTCGGGCAACATTTTATAATTCTTTATATATTTTTGCTTGTTTGTCTCATAGCAAAGCCACATTGGGCTATCTAGTGTGTCCACCGCGTGGAATCAAACCCTGGATTTTAGCGTTGTAAGCCCATAGACTTACCGCTGTCCCATCAGGAAAAGTAAATACTTTTAAAAACCTAAAGTCGATTTTTGTTGTTTTTATTTCAAGATTTTTTTAAAGTTGAATAAAACATTTTTTTTCCTATCTCTTGCAGTTAGTCATTTCAATAGGGTTAGCATTCTTGAATGACATCCACTTTCACAAATAAACAAGATGCACGAACAACACCTATTTTCTGCTGTATTAATTTTAGTAGCTTCTTTTAAAAACTGTTCACATATTTATCGAACACGCACACACACACACATATATATATATATATATATATGTTATTAGTGAAAAATGAAATAGCATATAGTGCAAATTAATTAAAAATCTTAAAACTAAGTTATTTGCTTAATCGCTCATCGAAAAACATTTTTATAATCACTGGTTTATTTTAGGTCCTACAACAACGAACGACTTGGGACAAGAGTGCTAAATCGTTTGTCCAGATGAGAGAAAAACTTTCTAGCGGAGACTTGGTTGAAAACTGTCAACTACGTAAGATATCTTTTTGCGGGTTATTTGGATAACTCCAGATTTGAAGAGTGCACAGACCAAATTCAGTTATGTCATAATTTCTAGGTTACCAGTATGTTTCGTAATATTTGCCCCGACTAACGTTTCGTAGAAGCTATAACGTGAAATCAACCTAGAAATATATTTTTTTTAGTTCTAGTGATTTATCATTACAGTTTAGCCTAACTTGAGTTTTTTATTGTACAGTTGTTATAAGATATTAACATGCATCTGATTCAACCTCAGTTGTGATAAACCTAAAATTTCTAAGTTGTTTTCTTTTGTTATGATAAATAAATAAATTATATAATTGTATCAGTTATGATGAGAATAGATGCCTGACATCTCTGACAAGTGAATACTACTATACTGGAGAACATAAAAAATATAGCTACTACTGTAATGGAGAACGTTAACAAATATACATACTACAGTTACTGGAAAATATTATTGATAAGTTCCAATATTATAGCTCTTGGATAATATTATTAAAAAAAACACTAAGACTATAATTGTCGGAGAATATTATTAACATACACTAATACTACAGTTGTTGGAGAATATTATTAATAAACACTAACAATATAATTGTTGGAGAATATTATTAACAAACACTAATACTATAATTGTTGGAGAATATTATTAACAAACACTAACACTATAATTGTTGGAGAATATTATTAAAAAAACACTAATATTACAGTTGTTGGAGAACGTTATTAACTAACACTATAATTGTCGGAGAATATTATTAACATACACTATAATTGTCGGAGAATATTATTAACATACACTAATACTATAATTGTCAGAGAATATTATTAACAAACACTAACACTATAATTGTTGGAGAGTATTATCAACAAACACTAACA